GGATTCAGAGTCAGTTTTAGCATCTAGGAAACAATCAATGCTAAAAACTTGTGTGGAAACTTCAGCCATTTAATTAGTCGCTCCAAATAATTCAATTATCTATTCAGACCATTAGAAATCAAATGATGATGTCATTTATAAAAGTTAAATGTGATTAAAAAGTATTTTTAGGTATACACTAATTACATTACTGGTATCTTTAGCGCCCTTAATTGTAGATCTAACCATAAATACAACCAATATAATCACTCCAATTAAGATCGATAATAATCTGATTGAATTAATCCAATATTCAGGGCACTACTTACATTGAAAATTCAAATCTCTTGAATAGCCTTTTTAGCAATCACCACAAAGTATACCTTTGTATCCTAAAAGACATTCTCCCATTGGATTATTTATAGGAGGTATCATTCCAAGACATGCAGGTTGGTAAATACATTTTTCGAAAGTCTTTGAAGAATTACTTCTTCTCCAAAAGCCAGGCAAAGGTCCAATTTCCGCACCACCCAGGCATTTTGCTTTAGTTGTAGGACATATTTCACAAAATCCAGGTTCATTCATTTTTATAAGTGAATAACTATTATCTTAGCATTTAAGACATTTCCCAACGCAGTAAATTGCTCCCCTAAATCACATTCTCTTAGTTACAAATCTATTTATAAGTCTACGTTTTACTTCCCTGTCTATTCAATAGCTTTTTTGTTTGAAGGTTTTTCTAAATCAATTCCATCAGTAGAAAATGATATCAATACACTATTTCCTGGCTATGCTGTAATTATAATGTCACTAATTACTGCAATTCCACCATTTACTTTGAATTCACTGCTTCCTTCAAAAATTGGAGGATAAATTATATCTTATCCTTATATATTATTTGATTATATAGCGATCCTCACTTTACTTTTAAAATCTGACCCAACAATCTAGCCATATTTGTCTATATGTGCCATATAAATATTTGGAATTGCACCACCACTTTACTAATTTTCAATTTTTTGCGTAAATTAAAATGACTAATTTTATTATAACAATCTTTTATTATCTTTTAAAATTAGCCCTTATTTTATCATTTAAGTTAAGTATTCATCCTATTAAATTGATAGTAATTACTATGAAAAACAAGCTATATCATCACCGTATTAATTTGCAGTGTTGTTTATGAAATTAAGATTAGATTTTATAAATATAGGCTCAATTTAATCCCAATATATTGCACCACCTTTTATTTGTGCTTAATTTAACCAGAATTTGTTTATTCCATCGAATTTTAAAAGGCAATTCCCATATATTTTATTACATGAATAGTAAATTGCTCCTCCTGAAGATGGATCATTTACTATGTCTGAGTAATCATTTGTACCAACAGCTTTATTATTAAGAAATTGATTATTTGTTAAAATGATTGATTATACATTATCTAGCATTACTGCTCCACCCTGCATTGCAGAGCAATTATTAAAAGTTGAGTCCGAAATCTAGTATTTCATGTTTTAATGATGCTAACTCGTTCCTTTACTACTATCTTTTTCAAATAAATTTATTGCTCCTCCTTTTAAAGATTTAAGATTAATAAATTTTGAATTTCTAATATCAAATCCAGAGCATTATTAGCAGTTAATTGCTGCTCCTCCAACTGAATTTTTGCCTTCGTAAATATCTTTTATAGTTAATTGTTAAGCAAATAATTTTGCTCCTTCTATATAAATAGAGTTTTTTGCTTTTTTATTACTAATTTCAACATGATTAATTGTAATTAGATTATATGAATTTATTAAATACATATCTTCCCCTTAATCTAAAGCATAGTTATCTTAAAAGTAAGTCTAATTTCCAATATATATGCTTGCAAATGATGAAGAATAAATAGCCCCACCTTTTGTTCTTGCCTTATTATTCAAAAAATTTGATTATAAAATTTCGGCATTACAATTACTGCCTATGAATATAGCTCCTCCTAAATAAGCTATTCCATTTCTAAATTCTGACCGTGTTAATAGCATTTTTACGTTTAGAATCAATTATATAAAGGCTCCAGTTGTCTTTTCTTCTTAAACTGCCTACAAATTACTTTATTCCTAATTATCAAATTAACAATTATCAATCGTTATGTTAGCATTATTGCATATAATTCCTTTAGTTCTCTACTAGGCAATGTTGTTCTTAAATATAGAATCTTATATTTTTATATTAGCGTCCATTATGGAGATAGTTGTTTTATTTGATTGATTTTCAATGAAATTTGATTTAATAATGGTGATATTTTTATTTTTATCAGCTTATTATACCTCAATAACCGAATTTTCCTCTGCCCAATTACTATGAAATTCAGAACCAAAAATATACATAGCTAATGAAGTTTAAAAATAAATGACACCTCCTGATACTGTTGCTTAATTGTAATTGAAATCACAATTATATATTGTTATATTTGATTATTTAAGGGCATTAATTACTCCTCCTATAATGGCCAAATTAAAACTAAATTTTGAGGATATTAATTCAGTCTATGTATCATATAGTTAAATTACTCCACCGTAATTGCCAGAGTTATATTTAAAAGCAGATTTTTTGTCAAAAAATTTAGTTTTTATCAAAGTAAAGATGCCGGCAGAAGAGGAAGATCGGCAATGCATATATTGATTTTAAACAGAACTAATTTTTATTGCATTACTAATATGAAAATAACCATCTGTAACAATTCTAGCTAAATCAGCATGATTTATAGGTTATGTTTAGGAAATCATTTGTGAATCACAAATGAAAATAGATTTTTATATATCTATTGTGAGAGTGCTAGAATCACTTAAAATAAAAGCACCTTTTTGAGATTTTATATTTTCAAAATGGGAATCTTGAATTAATAGATTTTATCCTTAATATACTCTTATAAATCCTCCTTATTATTCTGAAACACTGCCTAGAACAGTAATATTTTTAAAAACTATTGCTAGATACTAATTTTGAGTACTTATAAAACCTCCAATTTTAGATGTAGTTTCTACTATTTAGTTTGAATTTGCTAATTGAAAATATGCTTGTGAACTTGTTAATTAACCACCATCTCTTAATAATATGAAACCACCTTCTTGACTTGCTTCATTTTGTATTGATTTAATTTTATCTAATACTATAGATACATTTTTCTCCCCCAAAATAGCTCCACCTAATTAAGCATAATTATTTTTAAATGTAGTTTTTATCATTTATAATTTGCAGGCAGTGCATGTTATTGAAGCTCCAATTAAAACAACATTATTTTCAAAAACAGAATTATAGTCTGAGTATAGTGATGAAATAATTTTGATCACGCTTCCTGATTAAGAATTATAGCAATTTTTAAATTGGGAATTTTAAGTAGTTAAGCCATAAATAGAATTAGCAATATAAATTATTCCAACATCATTTAAACCACCAATTAATTCTTTTTTGTTGATTCCAGTCATGCATTATATAGTGCTATTTATTATTGTTACATTCGTATTTTTATGAATCATTTAAATTAATCTTTAACTGTATGATTTATAAGTTTATCTCTTTGGAGTAATACCTATAGAATTTGAATTTATAATTGTCAAATTCATTAAAGCGTTATCCATTTACTCTATAAACATAGAGTCAATATTCTTAACAGTTATATTATCAAAAATTAATGTTTATACATCCATGGCAAAAGTTACATATGATGAATGATAACTAGCATAAACATTTTGCAATAATGAATCCTTCAATATTATTTTAATTTCAATAGGCTCTTAATCTATGTAATATAATATAGGGGCTATAGTCATTATTTCCCCAATATAATCCCTCACTATGAGGTTTTAAATAAACACAAAAGTATTTTGCAAAAATAATGTAGACGAACCAGAAGAATCAGAATTTTAAATTATAGTATTCATGATGTAAATCTTATCATCATAGCCATATATTAATCCACTAAACCAATTAATATTCTCGATTAAAGTTTGATTTACTATTACAGTAACTCCTGGATTATTTATCCAAATTAATGGGTCCAACTAATTTTGAGCGCATCAAGTACAACTAAAATTATCGATTTTCAGTTAAAGCAGATCAAATACAGATT